GCGTTATATTGATGAGCTCCACTTGCTCTCTTAGACAGCACATATATGTACTGCCGAGGTAGCTTTGGGAGCCTCTGCAAGTGCGATAATGAAAACAGGCTCGTAGACTTGGAAAGGGTACCCACGTAGGAGCTTTGGAAACTCGACCGAGTTTAGCACGAGCGCGCAAGCGGTATAGGTACACGTAGCGGTGTAGGTACACTCTTTGAGATGCTGCGTGTAAAGAGGAAAGGCATGGCCTAAACTTGCGTTAAAGGGGAGAGTATTTTACTCCCCTTTGGGCTGATTGGAATTGAAAAGTCGAGATCCGTGCAGGCGTTATTAGGCATGGCCTCTTGACAATACTGCGGCGTTGATCGTTCGTTAGCTGGTTTTAGGCTAGGGGTTTCCGTTAAGGTTCATAGTAAGCCACACTGCGTGATTGTTTAAGAGTGATTTTAATATTCCTCAAGAGATGTTTTTTTTCAAAGCTTAATAGATAAGGATTACCTATAAGGAAAATAGTTTGGTGGAAAAAACTATTAGAACGTTGAAAGTATACTAAACTGAAGAAAAATAAATACGCGGGTGTAGTACTCAAAGCTGTGGATTAGAAAAAAAAGACATACTTATTGCTCAAAAACAGAAGAGTTTTATTATTATCTTAAGTTGCTGCAGGTAAATAGATGTAGCTCTAAGAGGGTTGAAAGAGTAAGCGAGTCCGAGGGCAAAAGCTATTAAACGCCTGTTTAGCATAGATCTGAATAGATAAAACTTACGCGTAGCTACCCGTGAGATCGGAGAAGACGAGCGAATTAATTTATTATGTATCTCGCACTCACCAGAACCAGTGGCTCGTCTCTTTACGGCCTAGCTGGAATTTACGAGGCTTCTTCCTCCCTATCATGGTTAATACCTCTTTAAGTGTCTGATCTCCCAGAATTCTTTTCTGGAAATAACCTTTTCTTGTAAAATATGTTTTGTAATCCTCTTTAATTGAATCAAGAAACTAAATTTTGACTAAAATCATAGAAAACGTGAATCATCATAAGACATAATCTGTCTCTTTAGACTCGATAATGCACTCAAAGGTCACACTGTTGGTTACATTGAAAATTCTTCACAACATGAAAGTGATTTCACGCACAGCGTTGTACAAAAAAGCAAAGAACAAGACACAAGCAGGTACAACAACATACTACTACACTCATTGCTCTTTCACACATGAGCCCTTACTGCTACAAAGGAGCGATCAAGACCCGAGCGATAGTACATCATCTCCTAAACTCTTTCCCTCCCCTTTGCTCCCATCCAAGGAAGGGTTCAAGCTCTTTTGCACCTCACCTTTCTCATACCCTACGGCCACCAAGACTCAGTAGCTGCTCCCTTATGCGCCGTTTAAACCTCGACATTTCTCAGGCACTCCTTAAAAGGGGGACTACTCTCGTAAACCCTTTCGCTTTTACGCTAAAGAGAGAGAGAGAGAGAGAGAGAGAGAGAGTCTCCCTCTCATTAGTCTTCATTTGTTTTCGGAATTATCGCCCCTGTCCAAAAGCTGGCGTGGCACACGAGTGTGAGGAAGGGAGACTCGGCTCTGGAACGCAGTCAGAGTGGTGATAGTGGTGATCCCCCGAGCGGGCGCGGTATTTGAGGGTTTATTAAATTGAAAATATGTTACTGCTTGCCTACTCCCTTCTCTCCCAGTGTCTCTTTACGTCTTTGCCTCGGCTCTTTTGCACTTGCTCTAGTCCTGCTTGTTTGCTCATCGAGCTGTGTGACGGTGAATTATACAGTAGTGTGCGCGAGGGATTACGTGTAGTCGTGTATGTTTGTATAAGAGTGTCGTAGGGCTTCAGATTGATCAAACATACTCTTTCCATAAAAATTAAATCCACCCACACGACATATGAAAAAAAAACAAAAAAAAAAAACTTTATTTTATAGATCTAGTTTCGTTAATCTAATGATTAATAGGTTTTGCTTAACCTTCACTCATGAATTAATTGTCATACATACATTTTTCAAAGGCAAGATTTTGTTTTAATCGTTACATCTGAAAACTAACAAGTTTGAGAAAAAAATCTGAAGCAAGTTTTAATAACTTCAAGAGAGAAATTGAAATATTTTTCAACCCGGGAGGATTAATGAAATTGCGTGGCTTAAAAAAACTTTTTTATACCACACGCTAAAAAATCTGTATTTTCGCAAAATGCGCCAGGATTCTTTAATCCTTTTAACGCAAAAATCTCCAAACAGAGCAAAAAAAAAGAGAAAATAAGAAAAAACGCTTGAATCCATGCCTAAGCTCGGAAAATTCCTGCTCACTGCTATGTATTTCCTTATCACGCTCTCCTCTTTGTCTTTTTCCGTTACCGAAAACTCGGCTGAAAACTCTCCCATGTTCTCCTTGCTAAGCCAACGAAGCTTTTCAAGTCACGCCTGTCTTGTATGTCTCTCTCTCTCTCTCTCTCTCTCTTCTTCTCTTATCGTTTTCTTAATCCTTTCCTCGTATAGAACGGTACCAGCAGCGCTCCCCAGTAACGTAAGCTATAACTAAGCAAAACCCGGCGTAATCCCCACCCTCTTGTTTTCTTTCTTCTGCTGGAGATGGAAAAATTTCCCCTACACCGCTGCCAAATGAACATAGATATACTCTGCATGTATCTCGCGGGAGTATTTTTTCTGTCACGTGCCACCGCTACCCACCTGCAGCTACGCTAGTCCTCATCCCTCCTCCCTTACCCCAAAAAGGGCTTTGCGGGCAACCAATCCGGCAGGCCGCAATCTCCGTTTGCCACGCCCATGCGCCAGTGACTCCGTGGCTACCCCCTTCCCTGGCTTTCTTCCCTCCCGCTTTTTCCAGCTCTCCCTACTCCTTAAAAGCTCTTGATATTTCGCCCCACCATCCCTGACTTGGACCTTTTCATCCCTACCACTACTGTTTCCTCTCTCTTTCCCTCACTTGCTTTCTCGTTAGAGATGCACCCAAACGGTTTATGTACATACTACGTACGAGTGTCTTTCTCTATGCGTACCTATTTGCGAGCTTGCAACCTCACCGTCTCTGTTTCTCGACTACTAGACTTATCTCCCTTTCTCCACACCCATTGATGCCAATGCAGCTACCTCCTTCCCGGTGCAGTTCTTGAGATTTTTATTATTATTATTTTTTAATTTCTATATCATCCCTTCCATGACACTAACTTCAATTCCAGTCTTTTTCTACTTCTCGTGCGACACTTATTTTTAACCCACAGCGTCACTCTTACGGATATTTTATCGCGTTGAATCAATTTTTTTGTGACTTGCTTTAAAATATTAACCATGCATACTTATAAATTATTTTTTTACTTTAGTTCTTAAAGGGCATACTTTTTAAATTACAAAATTCCAACATCCCAAAATCAACTATTTAGACTTCAATGGAAATTCTCTACCTGTCTGACTATAATTGCTTGCATCTACTTTTATTTGAAAAATATAATTTCCAGTCAGAAAACACCTGTTCTCTTTTGATAGAACTTTTAATTCTAGATTTCTTTGATTTCCTCACATGCTTTTTCGCTGCTTGTAAAAAAAACAATATACGTACAGCAAAATCAAATTATCAAATCAAAGTAATACCGTAAAAGAAGGGGCATAAAAAGAGATTTACTCGTGAAAAAAGCTACTAGTTAATCAACTAATGTTCCACATACAAATGAACTGCAGCTCATGTGCCTGATCAAAGCTTACATAGAAAATACTCTTGTAGATGTATACAACTAAAAAAAAAGTTTTTGCACGCCAGACACACGAGCAACTAAGTATTTTCCTATTTATTTCCCACAAGCGAAATTCCCTGCCTTCCTTTTGCTCCTCTCACCAACCCTGGTCTTTTTCTTTTTTCATGCCATGCCTGCAGTACAGTATCCACGAGATTTGCTACCATTACCCTTTTTTTTCACTCCTCCCTCTTGAATGCCATAGCCAGCTTTTACGGAATTTTTTTAACTGCTCTTCGTACGCAGAAGAACAGTATATGAGAAAAAATAGAGTACAACGCTATAATCTGCTATTGATCATGGTTTTTTGAAAACCGATATTGCTTCAATTAACAGGAGCTCTCTCTCCACTTGCGTTTCTTCTTTCTCCTCCTGGTATCGACCCCTTCTTGTTTTCGTTTCGATCTGGTAACTCTTCCTTTTATTTTAATCCACTGCATACTACCTATTTGATTCCCCCCATCACTCATACACATTTTTCTTAAAACTGTTCTACAAACTATTTTACGTGCACCCTTTTCCAGTTAAACGACAACTCTATTAGCACTCGAGAGCAATGTATCGAAAATTTCCTATTCATCAATAATTACGTCCTCCGAACTTGGTTAAACGCTCCAAAAACAGGAGCATCGGCACGAATGGAGCACACGATCGTTAAATCACGAGTTTTGCATTAATTATTAGAACAACGCGAGTAAGCTATGGGATGCGTGGCAATAAATTGTGAGCAACATATTGCGCTCATTTAGTGAATTAACTATAAATTTCGTGTAACGTACTATGTGAGTGTCTATTGAATTAATGCAGCTCCAGCATCTTTTCTGATTCAGGTAACTTGTTCCCTTCTACCAGTGGTAGCTATTTATATGCAATAGGCTCTTTTAAGATTCATGTCCCGTGAAACATGTTATATACCTTGTACTATTAAATGTCACTGTTATACAAATACGCAGTTTTTAGGGTTACTATTTACAAGCTTTTTTTTATCTATTTTTTTTTTTTTTTTTTTTAAATGAAATTATTTTCGTCAGAGGAAAACTTAATTGAACTCATAACCGTATAATGCTACCTACATAATTTGAGACACGTTGCATTTCATTGTATGAAATGTAAAAAAAACGTGCAACATCTATCTCAACACGCGTTTCAAAATCACAACCTCCTGCTAGATCATAAGAACCACCACAATGAGCTACAATTAAAAGCCACGAAAATGGTTCATAACAAGGGACCAATCTGATACCCCAACGATTTCAGGTTTGCAGCACTTGAGCTTAGACCAAAACGCAGCCGTGGCCGCAGCGGCGGCGGCAGCTCAAGGCTGGGGTGGCTTGTCCCGAGGTGGTTTGGCTCCGCACTGTCTTCCGCCAGCTCCAGGCCACCACTCGACGACGCACGCTGCCCAGCCGACTGCAGTAACAGCGGCTACCGCGGCGACGGTGGTAGCAGCAACGGTAGCACCTCCGGGCGCGACCACTGCGGTGAACACGGCCACAGCTTCGGCTTTCAACCCGTTTCACCACGCTATCGAGCAGAGATCGCCCAGACTAACCACCGCGTCTGCTAACGGTAAGGATTGCTTAATTGCTCTTACTTTTACTCCTTACTCTTGGGGTGCCGTTTTCGCTGTTGTCGACATCCCTGCAAGTTATAGTTCTGTTATTGCGTGTAAGGAACGGAAAATTTTCTTCCTTATCTCACACATCATGAATCTTATTTTAAACATCAAATTATCATTGTTGTAAATTTAATTTCACTCGTCAATAAAATTTCAATTTATTTTAACAAACAACCTTCTATTGACATAACGTAATGACAAAAAAAGATTCATTCATTCGTTGAACTACAAGTCTCTAATTACTCACATTGATTTAAGATTCATCGAGACAAACGGAGCTTACCCCGATCGGGATTTCCATACGGGAAGCGGCATCATCCACATTACCCAGTAATGTTACTGGAAGCACGGGTCTGCTAACGGCAACAACTGTTACGACACCACCAATAGAGTCGGAACACATAGCCATAACGACTCCACCGACCACGGCCACTGTGACGGCATCTAGCAATTCCAGTCCAACCAGCCATCATCCGCACTTCCAAGGTTGGCAATCAATTCTCCTTTATTTTATGTAACTTGTTATTGAAAGAATAAAAGAAATGATGATAATAAATATTTTGTACAGGTCTTCACCTTCTAGGTGCAACAAACTCCCTCTTTGGCTCGATATTCGCTCCTTTGCTCCCCCAGTCCTCGTGGCTCTACAATCCACTCTACCATACACAGCAGTACATGTTAGAGCCAGACTGGCACGCATTAGCCCTGCGAATGGCTCAGCAGCGGCTCCAGAGGCCCGATCAGTCAAGACTTGAGGACTTACGAAAGTTGCGTTCTGAAAGTGAAGATAGCCCCGAAGACGAAAACAAAGAAGAAGGTTCAAGAGATCCGGATAGTCCTGAAGACAGTATAGATGTCGACGACACTGATGACGAGCCGAAGTCTAAGATGGTACGTCGGTCGCAAAGCGAGGAGTCTCTTGAGCAGGAGAGCCCCAGAACTTCACCTTCAAGGTAATTAGCTAAACTTTTTCTTTTATTTTGTATTATTTTTCATTTTGTTTGGCTAATTCACTTGCGTAACATTAAGTACATGACAAGGGAAATAATAATTAATTTAAAACGTTTTGAAGAAAAAATCTGGAACTTAGCCAAGAGGAAAGCACGTCTGGTCGATTACGACCGAGTTTGGAAAATATCCACGAACACGAGCATGAATTTTCAGACAATCAGGACTCAAGCAACCAGCGTGGTCTGAAGATTAAGATACGGGTTGAGGGTAGCGTTGACCTGAGCACCAAGTCGAGGACTAAAGATAAGGAGAACGTTGGACAAGATTTGACGATAAGCACCAAAAGGAAGGATGAGGAGGTTGAAATGACGGATAGGGAGACCATTAGGGCCAGGAGAGAGAGGAGTCCGAAGCCCCGGCAAGTTTGGAGGCCGTATTAAAATGGAATATACGATTTTTATTGTTTTCTTTTGATCACAATTTGGTGATCTTTGCTGCTTGAAATGGGATCACGTGCTTATGTTACGATCATTGTATCATGATTTTATGTAACAAAACTTTGTTCGGACTAAAGATTGTATCATTGTATCATAATTTAACTAATTAAAGTACTATGTACATGTCAAACATAACGTTTATGAACTGAAAGATGAAGATGCAATTCCTCGTGACGATATCATTCAACAAGGACACATTCGAGGACTAACCAGGGTCTTATCATCAAATATTATTTGTAAATATAAAATGTGATTTTAGCAAAAAATAATATTTCATAAGTGAACAAAATCTTTTAAAATCTCGCGAATATTTGACCGTAATAAATGTCATGTTCTCAAATAGGTTTAAAAAACATTGAGCAATTCTGAGTATTGTGAGATACAAATGAATATTACGAGAACGTTCGATTATCATCCAAAAATTATTGTAAATAAAAATAAATGTATGAGCCATTTATAATGTAAGTCAAAATCATAAAAAAGAAACATTTCGAAGTATATGTCGTTTCCACATTCCACGCATGTCAAATGTTGTAATCTGAAAAAAGTTGAATCATTTGTGGCGAGTTTTTATGATAATATTAAAGAATTTGGGAATATAAAAACCATTGTCTATGCAATGTGGCATTTTCAAGCTCGACTTTCAAGTACACGTTACCTTTAGTCTATAAAGTAAAATGTTCATTTACATAAGTTATGAAATCGTCCATTGTTTAAATTATACCACATCGAACAAATATTATTCACTTATAATACAATTGTTTTTTCCTCGATCAATTAGGCTCTTTTAAGATTCATGTCCCGTGAAACATGTTATATACCTTGTACTATTAAATGTCACTGTTATACAAATACGCAGTTTTTAGGGTTACTATTTACAAGCTTTTTTTTATCTATTTTTTTTTTTTTTTTTTTTTAAATGAAATTATTTTCGTCAGAGGAAAACTTAATTGAACTCATAACCGTATAATGCTNAATAATAGTTACATATATTAATATTTATTTCTAACTTTATTAAAAAGTATATGATCTGACGTAATAAGGAGTGGTTATCTAGTGACCAGGTATGCTTTCAACTGTAGCTTCACACCAAAGGAAAAATATTTTTACATCTTTTTGAAAATATTCGGTCTATCACACAATATATGTCAAATTAAACTTTCAGTATCAACTTATTGACAAAAAAATACACAATGAGTTATTCTTAAAATTAGTATAAGTTACGATAGAAAATTTTTAATTCCTGAATTTCTAAGAACCAACTTTTAATAGTATTTCGCCGTTTACGGTAATCGAATGCACGAGTTCCAGGCACATCTACCCTCACAATATTCCTAAAAACAAACTCACACACACCCAGCTGTGTATGAAAACCAGAAGCGACGAATGCTGTACGGGCTGGGATTCAATTATTTGCCTCTGCTACAATTGAGGGAGCGTAGCATGCAACGCATGTAAAAAAGTCATTTTCCCGTACCACGTGCCACCGCGGATATTTGCGTGTAAACGTGGATCATGCGTGCTTTCGTGCGTGCGCACACTTCGTCCGATGAGCGGTGGTGATAGTGGTGATGGAAACGTCACGTGATTGATGGAAAAATACAAGAGCCGTGAGTACGGGCCGCGTAAAACCGCTGAAATCGAGATGAAAAACGCCGCAGAGTCTGTTTCCCGTATTATTTTTTAGCTCAACTCTCTTCAGTTTTTGAAATTGACAATTCGTGGTGTGTAGCTCTCACATGTGGTTATGTTTTCCTTTAATACCTAAGAAAATAAGCTTTTTTATGCTTGTTATCAATTACATATTAATTAATCAAGAACGATCATTTATAAAAAACGACCGTTGCCAAACATTGACTCAATACTGAGGAAAAATACCAATATAATGTCAAATTACTGTTATAAACAAGATTAAATAATCGTGTTACAAAGTTGGCACAAGCACGTTCCCAGTATGTTTCATGGTACACATGCATACACGCCAGCTCGTCTGTGTTAATTTATTTAGGTTTGGCTCTCATTACATATTCACCCATCGATTTTCGCATAACGCACCGTATTCTCAAAAGCTTTGACGTACACGAGCTCATGAGGTTATGGAAAATTCACGAGGATAAGCTGTACAGAAAAAATGTATATACATAGAAAATTAACATTTAAAAAAAGAGTTTCTAAATATGATGGACTAACTAGAACATACTCCGCTTTAAAAAGTTTAGCATTTCTATCTAAATAATGCAGTTCCGATTTGATTATATCACTCTATTTACTATATTAAGTTTACATTTTTTTTTTTTTTAATTTGCTCATTAAATCAAATATAGTAAAAATCTGAGCTTACAGCTGAATATCGCTATAAACTAGCTATCTGTTTACTCCCCATATATCTTCAATTATAGTTTGTTAAGAATTAATCGAACACAGAGTCTTATCACTTGTTATCTCAATCGCTCTTTAGCTGATACTCGTATGCAACGACATTTTCAACAATAACAAGTATCTTAGCTTCCTTTTTCTCTCCAAAATTATTTTCGTTGCCCACATCTTTTACCAAAAATCGGACAAGCAAATTGATTGGCAGTGGACCGCAAAGTCATTCAATACTTCCATGGACCCTTTCTCTGTTAAATATTTTTAGTACATCTACACTTGGATGTCCATCTCTCGCACATGGAGCAAAGGGAGGTCCCTAGGTCATACACTCGAGGGATCTCTCATTCTGGCATTCTCTTTTGCTTTCTATTTTGCGTAAAAGCTCGTTCTATGCTTCGTCAACGTCACAGCGGCAAAACGGATTGATCCATCGATCGAGCTGACGGTTTTCCCTTTTCGCCCCCCTCAACCTAGCTCGCTCGCTGAAATACACGGCACAGTGACAAAGACTCGATTTGATTTTCCCTCCCTCTCTCTTTCTGTACCATACCAGTCCCCGGCGTTAACATCGGTGGGTGTGTGCATCATTTTCCTTCCTGCGCGGTTCGCTCATTAAAGCCTGGGTCAGTCAGTTGTTGCACGGGTACGCGTGGATAATTTAGTAGACGGCTTTCTGTGTGGCATACGTTGTAACGTGTTAAATCGTAGAATTTATCCCTTTGTAATTTAGGAATTTTTTTTTCTTTTTGAAAAATTTTTAAATCTATTCTAATGAGCGGTTAGAGATGCGGTCAGTATTATCCTCGTAAGTTGCTGTACTCCTGAAATAATCATTCATGAGCTGATGGATTCCTTGTTAAATTACTTTCTTCTTTTAACATTGCAAATATTTCATTAGCCATGTAATAGCATTAATGATTCAAATATCTCTACTAGCTAGGTAAACATCTTTTCGCTTTAGTTGATCATCTTCGAGTTGTACAAGTGTAACTATTATTTTGGTAAAAACATATGAAAACTACAAACGAAGGAAACATCAATGAGCTCAGCAGCTACTTAAGATACATAACAAAAGGTAGAATTCCAAAACCTTATGAAAACAAATTCTGTTCTTACAACTTTAAAACGTTCAGAATAAAATACGATGAACTTCTTTAAATAATTTAAAATTGTCTAGAATATCCACTGCTTTTTAACGAAAATAAATTTTGGTGCTCCTGCACGTTATTTCACATGTCAATAGGAAGATAAGATGTTATTACTTGGATAACGAAATCGGAAGGGGCTAAATTACCTTCCTGTAGCTCTAGAACATAATGTAACATAGTTTAATAAATTTTAATGATAGTGGTATGAATTTTATCACCATTCAAATGGAAGCACTAGATTAGCACATAACCAACATATAAATTAACGGTTTTGTCATTGAAAAGTGATCTTTAGTCATGAATTGACATATTTCAAATTTGTAAACATTTTCATTGCAAACTTACTTTGAAGTATAAGTTTTTAAAAAATGAAGTCTCTAAGGCTTTTTAACCGTGTATGCTTTGAAGGATTAAAGTTGTTACTGTTGCGCTATTCATCTACAACAATGGTTCCAATCAGTGTTGTTATTTCATAGACTATTACAAGCATGTTTGTGGTCCCATACTTAGGTTGCAGTGACTACACTCTGTATGACGAGTATGATTAAGCTATTTATTAAACACACGAGTAAAACTAATGCCTCAAACGTCTGCGAGTTATACGATCGACTACTGTACTTAAATCAGTCATTTTTAAAAACTCAGTGCTGAATTAATATCAATGCGAATCATTTTAGTCGTATAGAAAAAAAGTCCCTATCGCAAATTTTATCTTCCTCTGTGTGGAAAAAAATAACGAGAACGCAAAGAAGAAGCCAGCATGATTATTCTCACCAATGTATAGATCGATTAGAACTGGTTTTGTCAAAGTCCTAACCAGTATACATGCCCCTGTACGTATTCCGGTATCATCGGTCAACCGTAGTCCACAGAGAAAACGCCGGAACAGTCGAACAATCGTTTCTATTTCTTTCTCTTTTTTGCGTTGCACCATCCAAGTTCCATCAATTCTCTCGTTAAAGTTGACACGTGCTCAACAAAAGAGCCAAACCTATCATCTTTGTCCTCTACATCCGTTCGGATACGGCATCGTCAAAGCCATCGTCCACTTTTTTTTGTTGTTGTTCCGTGACTTCCTTTCTGTTTTGGTTTCAAGCGCATGCCGCGAAAAATCATAGATAGTCTCTCCCCGCAGAGGGGCAGCTTTCATTTGGGCTCGTGAAATCAATTCTTTGTGTTCCTTTTACCAAGCAGGTGAGATTGATTGACTTTTGGTTTTTTTAGTTCTGTTGATTTCTTGAAAACAATCAAATCATTATTCCATTTACTTGAACTGCTGTTATTACCTTTCAAATACCAAAGCAAGGCTTCCTAAAGACAAAAACAATAGCTTACTATTTTCTACGACTAATTAATAGTAACTCGTGCATGACAAAAATATTTTTGATCCAATTCTTAAAAAGAATAATGTAAGCTTTCTTAAAACTTTGATATGTTATTTATAATGATGAAATAAGTTAATCTGGTCAACGTCAACAGTCATATTTACAATGCTCTGTGTAACATTTATTATTTCTGAGTTACCAATCACAAGCTCGAATTATTAGCAATATATCAACATATTTACACTTTTGACTTTCTGTCTCTTAGGATGTTGGAAAATAAAAAGCTCCGAGTGCGCAAAGATAAAAGTGCAAGGGTCCTGTTGCGGCTAATGCATATTACTACTCGGCTCCTTTTCAGGATTCTAGCGAGGCTCTTTTTCCGTTGTCAGGCTCTTGGTATCCTCTTCCAGACTCTTTTAGCTCTTTTTACGACCCGCTCAGTCTACTCGAGCACTTAAGATAATAAGGGGCTGGAGGACGACGATTCTTTCTCTCAGGTGGTGTGAGCGCTAAAAGGGGTTAAATTATGTATTCGTCCGAGGAATTATCCCTCTAATTTCTTTAGCACCGGCAGAGAAGCTCTTTTTGCCGCACGGAAAAAGAGTCCAGTGCTTACAAGCGCAAGGGTTTTCCCTCTCTTTCTTTCTCGGGGATCTCCGG